GGGACGCCATGGCCGCCGTGGCCGCCATACGTCAGGAGGAGTTACATACGAAATGTGTGCGCAGATGCGGCGCGAATTCTCAGCGGTGGGCGGGGCGCGGGGCGCGGGGCGCGGGGCGCGGGGCGCGGGGCGCGGGCACTGAGCCAGCGGGGCGGGCAGGACATGTGGGGACGCGCTGCCTTGGTTGGCTCGTGGGAGAGCCCACGCGGGCCTGGGTGACGGCGGGACAGAGACGTGCTCGCAGGACAGCAGGGGCGCTGGCCAACCCTCGCCCCCGCCCCCGGACCGGCTTCGTCTGCACGCGCTGCTGTGGCCTGCTGGCGCGCTCCCGCGCGGTCCTCCTGGGCTCCGCTCCGTCCTCACCCGCAGGCCGGGTCTCACCTGGAAACCGTGCCGATGGGCAGGCCCGCTGCCAGCAGGTGATTCGCGGAGTGGACCTCAATTTGGAAACGTGAACTTCATCACTAATGTGAGCTGGGCTCACAGGCACCACCCAGACCACGTAAAATGACGACAAAGAGGCTTCGAGTGTGTGGAAAGTAAACCCCACCTCCCCGGTTACCGTAGAAACGTGTTTCCAAGTTCAGCCCTTTGCCTCCAGGATGCACGGGTGAGGGCGACACGTAGGGCTGAATGGGAGTAGTGGGGGGCGCTGCAGCCTGGCGCTGGACCCACCCGGGCCTGGCGGGGGGCTCAAGGTGCTGGTGCCCTGGTTCCCCCCTTGACTCCGGGGACGCCTGGTGGTGGCTGCCTTTCCCTGGAGCGTCACCACTTAATATTTAATAGGTGTCGTGGGCGCGGGAGCCTGCGAGGGGTGCATTCTCCACATCAGCAGGCCAGCGTCCAGGCTGCACTTGGCAGGCGGTGTGATGGAAACGGGAGACATCGGACAAGCCCTCGGCTGCAGAGTCCAAGGCCAGGAAGGGGCTCCTGCTCCAGGGAATCACGGTGGGCTTCATGCTTATGGGGGTGGGTGGTGTGTGAGCCCAGGGACCTGGAAACACAAGACATCTGGGACACGGCTGATTCTGCTTCAGCTCAATAGAGAGATCGTTTTTACAAGACCTTCTGGCAAAGCTGGACAGTGTTTTTAATTTAAAAAATTCATGTCTCCAAGACCGTTTCCTGGCCCACCCCACCTCGCTGGTGAGGACAGACAGGCTGGGGCTGCCACCTGCCGTTTCTCCGGTTGCTTGTCTACATTATTTATTCCCTGAGCTTCATTTCAAGGTCATTTGGTTACAGGAGGGAGTCATGTTTTGCAGTTTGTACTCCACTCCCCTGAGAGCAAGAGCCTGGCTGCACCTGCCTGGGGGCCAGGAGGCCCATGGTTCCCCAACAAACAAAGGAAACAGACTCTGGATGACTAAGGTGGCTCCTGGCTACTTTTGCTTCTTCCAGTTCTGCTCTTGTCAGAGCTGGGAGCCCCCACGTCCCTGTCCCCAGAGCTGGCTGCCCCTGTCTGCTCAAATAAACTGGTTTTCCTGATGTGATGGGTCCCTCAGCAAGTCCTGCAGAGGATGGGGCCGGAGGGTGAGAGACAGGCAGGGGAGGAGTGCTGTGCCCAGCAGGTGCCTGACCTGGCAGGGAGCAGGTGCTGACCAGTGTTGGGAAGTCAAGTGTATGCAGTCTCCTTTAACACGTGTGTGCTGTGGGCCTGCCTGGAGTTGGACGCGGCTTGAACGAGGGAACACCTGTCTTGAGAGAATGTATTTCCTAGTAGAACGGACAGGTATCATGGTCATCCTTCCTGCCACTGCTTCACACACTGCTCTTGCCCAAAAGAATCAAACTTTTGGTTCTTAGAGCCTTTGGAAGGCCCTTCCCTGACTTTGCCGCCCTGGCTGCCCCCCCCCCCAACCCCGCTGCAGTGTGGGGCCTCCAGCTGGTGCACCAGACTCTTCTACTCCCTTCCTTGTTCAGTGGCTTCAGGGAGGGGGGCCTGTGGCAAGCGGGACAGTAGACATCCCTGAGTCTTTCCATCTCGGTTCCTCCAAAGCCTGAGCTGGAAACCTAAGAGGCAGTGAGACAAAGGGGTGCTGGGCTAGTGTAGGGAGGAGGTGGGCATCCAGGGCAGTCATCAGCACTGATGGCCAGATGCACCCCTGCCCCACACTGTCCCCCATCTGCATGTGTGCACCCGTGTGTCCTATGTGCTGCGGGGGGCCCTCAGGCCCGGGGCTCCTGCTGGCTGGAATGATGGAGAAGAAGTGTCACACGGTCCAGAACTGTGGCAGCCGATGTCCTCCCGCCCTCCCATGGGCCAGAAGCCCTGATCTCAGTGTCCCCAGGCCCAGGGGTGCCTGTAGGGGGCGAGGCCTTGCTGGCTGTTGGGAGGCCTGGGTCTCCCTCCAGCTGGGCCCACCCGTGGGGACCCCTGTTAGTTCTGCATTAGTTAGTTAGTTAGTTAGTTCTGGATTCTAACTGCATGTTTACTTCTGTTTCTCACTTCTAGCTGCAGTATTCTTAAAGGGCCAGTCTGTGTGGCCTGTCCGTGGCCCGGCACATGTGTCTCGTGCACAGAGGAATTTAGTAAATATTTTCTGGCTGCTTCGTGAATGTAAGCTTAAATGTCTGCACTCAGGTAAATACGTGCTTTCCCACTTAGAAGATGTAACTGTGCTTTGAAATTGGGCTGACCTGGTTTATATCTTGTCTCTGCCGTTAGCCAAATACTTGACTTTGGAAAAATTATCTAAATTCTGGGGGCCTGTTTTTCATCTGTGAAATAAAATCGTACAAATTAAATAAGGCCACAGGGTGCAAAGCAGTGACCACACTGTGGGCGGTGTGTGGTCAGTGCTCTGTCAGAGCCACGTACCGC